CTAAGGAATCCTTCAGAAATCCTCAAGAACCCTTAAACGGAATCCCAAGGAATCTTAGGAAATCCCTAGGAACCCCTGGGGAATCCTCAGGAATCCTGACAACATCCCCAGAAACCCCGAGGGCATCCTCAGGACCCCCTGGTGGGAGGAGAGGGGGGGGGGAGGTCCTTCCTCAGGACCCCCTAGGGGATCCTCAAGAACCCCTGGGGAGCTCCCAGGAGCCCCTGAAGATTCCGCAAGGGAAAAACTCGGGAATCCTCCAGAACCCCCCCAGGAGTCCGTAGGAGACCCTTAGGGGATCCTTTGGAATCCCAAGGAGATCCTCGGGAACCCTGAGGGATCATGAGGAACCGTGAAGAATGCTAAGGAATCCTGAAGAATCCTGAGGGGCACCCTGAAGGGATCCTGAGGAACCATGAGGGATCCTAAGGAGTCCGTAGGCGTCCTGAGGAGACATGGTGGATCCTGAGGAATCCTGAAATGTCCTGAGGAAGCCTTGGGGATCCTGAAGAATTCGAAGATATCCTGAGGAATCCTGAGGAGCCCAACGGAATCCTGAGAACCCCATGGGGAGATCCTGAAGAATCACTTGGGATCCCAAGGATTCCTGGGGAATCCTAAGGAATCCTCGGGACCCCGGAAGGAGCCTGAGGAATCCTAGAGGACCCTGAGAAATCCTCGGGAGTCCCACGGGATGGCTCCTGAGGAATCCCGAGGAATCCTGGGGGGTCCTAAGGAATCCTTGGGGGTCCTAGCGAGTCCGGAGGAGCCCTCAGAAATCCAAAGGAATCCTAAGGGATTCGCAGAAATCCTGGGGAAAACTCTGGAAACGCGCCAGGAATGCCGACCCCTTCTCCGGCCCCGTGAGGCAAGCCCTCGGTTGCTGGAGTTTTGCTGACCCTTGAAGATACGCACTTGAGTTTTGAGAGAAGAAGAAGATCTCAACAACAAGCCGGGGCCGGTGTCAACGCCTTGCCGAACAACAACAACAACAACAACAACAACAACAACAACAACAACAACAACAACAACAACAACAACAACAACAACAACAACAACAACAACAACAACAAAACATAATAAATAGTCGAAGAATCGCACCCTGACAATTTTTCAACTATTCTTGAATATTCCTCCTGTCGAGAAACATGCCCGACTGAAATCGAGGCCCAAGGTTGGAGGCGGTGTCTGGATCGACTGCGGCCGCGGAGCGGCCTCGACCCAGGCTGGGGCTCCGGCTCGAAGTGCCCGCAGCTTCTCCAGGCAGGCCCAGGTGGGCCCCCGGAGCACCCCGTCGCGACGCCCAGAGAGGCCGACAGGGGCTCCGCGGTGGCAGGAAGAGCCGGGGGGGGGGGGGGGGGCGCTTTGGGCTCGTCGGGGGGGGGGGACCCGCCGCGCCGCGCCCCTCGGAGCTGCCGGGGCGGGCACACCAGCCACTCGGTTGGTTTGAGATCTCCCCCGCACGTGCACCCGTTGCGGCGGTACTGCCGAGGCGAGCGAGCGGATACAGCCCCTCGGTTTGTTGGCCTGTCTGTTTCCGCGGATGCGCCCTTTTTGTCTCGACATCGCTGCAAGGCGCGCTGCACGCCCAGTCAGAAAAGCACTGCAAGGGAGCGGGCGAAGGGACAACTCGGACGAGGTTCACGACCCCTCTCACTCACCAATCACAGAGCCTCGCCCGTCTTCGGGTGCAGGCGGGATATGGTCTTGTAGAGTTTACTCCTCGATGCTCCCCACCGATCTTTCCAGGGCCCCACAACATTGTGGTGAGGGACCGCGTGGAGACCTCGGAATCCCCAACGACATCACCGCGCGGTCCGTCACCACACGGTTTTGGGACCTTGGTGACCCCGACATCCACGCGGACTCGCTACGCGATGTGGACAGCACACCGCCTGGGTCCCCCCGAATCGAGGTCTTGGGCGGCCCCTGCTGGCACCCAGCGCATCCGCCCGAGAGAGAGAGAGAGAGAAAAAAAAAAGAGAGAGAGAGAGAGAGAGAGAACAGGAGGTCCGCCCTCCTGGGCAAGCGTCCTCCTACAGGCGGATTTCGGAAGAAAAATATCAAGTAGCCAAAAAACATTCAGAAGTAGTCAAACAAAGCAGAAAATCGTCCTCGGACTACTTGTCACTATTTTTGAATCCTCGGCTTAAGGCAAGCGGCGGCGGGGTGCGCGCGGGGCTGCCGTGGCACTCTCTGCAGGGGATGGGCCCGCAGCTGCGGCCACGGGCGGGCGGCCGGGCGGGCGGCAGGGCGCGGGCGTGCCGCCGGCAGAGGCGGCGGGAGCGAGGGGAGGAGGGAGGGGGCGGCGGGCGGGGTGGCTGGGCAAAACCCCTGTGCCAGGCCTCCTCCTCCTCCTGTTTTTTCTCCTGCTCCTCCTGTTTTTTCTCCTGCTTTTCCTCCTCCTCCTCCTCCTCCTCCTTCTCTCCTCCTCCCAGTACTTTTTCTCTTTTTCCTCGTCCTCCTGCTCCTCCTGCTCCTCCTGCTCCTCCTCCTCCTCCTCCTCCTCCTCCTCCTCCTCCTCCTCCTCCTCCTCCTCCTCCTCCTCCTCCTCCTCCCCCACCCACCCTACCCCATCATCATCCTCCTCCCCCTCTGCCCTACTCCATCCCTTTAGCTTGTTTGGATGGGTTTCTTGTGAATTGTTGACGCTTCGCGAATCCCCACCAGCCCATCCAGAAACGATGCCCAGAGGAATTGCCTGGATCACGGAAGTGGGCAGCACAAAGAGGAAGCCATTATGAGACATCTTGGGATATCTGGAGCCATCTTGGAGGCCATCTTGGGCTCTCCCAGGCCCTCTTGGAGTCATCTTAGTCAGTGCTCCCTCCCAAGAGGCCAACATGTGGCTAAAACCTTAGTGAAATCAATGATTTGGCATTCTCGCCGAGGCCTCTTGGAGCATCTTGGGTGCCTCTGGGGGGTCTCTGGGGGCCTCTTGGGGGTCTCTTGGGGGCCTCCTGGGGGCCTCTTGGGGGCCTCTTGGGGCCATCTTGGGGCCATCTTGGGACCTCGTAGGGCCTCCTGGGCGCTTCTTGGGGCCATCTTGGAGGAGGTCGGTCAAACAAGAGGGGAGTATTAATTAGCGTCGCCCCCCAGGAGGCCAAAATGCGGCCGAAACCCTAGTAAAATTATCCAAGTGCGACCCTACCTAGGAGTCGGAGGAGCTAGGACAACAACATCTATATGAAGCTAAGTTAAGCTAAGATGAAGCTAAGCTAAGATGAAATAAGCTAAGTTAAGATGAGATAAGCAACGCTAAGCTAAGGGGACGTAACTGGGGGAACCGCGGGGCGGATACTGGGGGAACCGCCCGGGGCGAGTTGCACTGCCCGGCCCTTTAAGCATACCGAGTAAGAACCCTTCTAGGCAGAGCCTAGGTAGGGAATACAACTGAGGTAAGATGAAGCTACACTAAGGTAAGATGAACTAAGCTAAGCTAAGATGAGATAAGCAACGCGAAGCTAAGGGAACGTCACTGGGGGAACCGCGGGGCGGATGCCGGGGGAACCGCCCGGGGCGAGCCCCACTGCCCGGCCCTTTAAGCTTAGCTATGCTATGCTAAGCTGCGCTATGCGATGCTATGCTATGCTATGCTATGCTATGCTATGATGCGCTATGCTATGCTATGTTTGGCTATGTTATGCTATGCTATGTTATGCTAATACAGCGCTGCGCTATGCTAAGTTAAGCTAAGCTAAGCTAACCCTCTAAGCAGAGCCGAGGTAGGGAATTACTTCCGTGCTATGATATGCGATGCTGCGCTATGCTATGCTACGCTATGTTATGCTATGATGTGCTCTGCTATGCTAAAGCTCAGCGAAGCTAAGATGAAGATAAGCTAGCTCAGATAAACCTAAGCTAAGATGAAGCTTAGCTAAGCTAAAGGTGAAATAAGCTAAGCTAAGATGAGATAAGCAACGCTAAGCTAAGGGGACGTAACTGGGGGAACCGCGGGGCGGATACTGGGGGAACCGCCCGGGGCCTGGAGCACTGCCCGGCCCTTTAAGCATACCGAGTAAGAACCCTTCTAGGCAGAGCCTAGGTAGGGAACCAATGATGTTGGCTTCCTCGCCGAAGCCGTTTTGGCATTCTCGCCGATGCCTCTTGGAGCATCTTGGGTGCCTCTGGGGGGTCTCTTGGGGCCTCTTGGGGGTCTCTTGGGGGCCTCCTGGGGGCCTCTTGGGGGCCTCTTGGGGCCATCTTGGGGCCATCCTGGGACCTCTTGGGGCCTCCTTGGCACTTCTTGGGGCCATCTTGAAGGAGATCGATCAGACAACAGGGGAGCATTAATTAGCGTCCCCCCCCAGAGGCCAAAACCTCAGTATAACCAATGATTTGGGCTTCCTCGCCGAGGCCGTTTTGGCATTCTCGCCGAGGCCTCTTGGAGCATCTTGGGTGCCTCTGGGGGGTCTCTGGGGGCCTCTTGGGGGTCTCTTGGGGGCCTCCCGGGGGCCTCTTGGGGGCCTCTTGGGGCCATCTTGGGGCCATCTTGGGACCTCGTAGGGCCTCCTGGGCGCTTCTTGGGGCCATCTTTGGAGGAGATCTATCACAGAAGTGCGGAGCATGAATTAGCCTCGCCCCCCCGGGAGGCCAGAATGGGGCCAAAACCTTAGTAAAATCAATGATTTGGGTTTCCTCGCCGAGGCCGTTTTGGACGCTCTGATACCTCGCGGCCCCCCCCCTTCCAGGTCCACGGGGGGGGAGGGGGAGGGAGAAGAAGGAGGGGTGGAAGAGGAAACGCCCTAAACCACCGACGCCCAGAGGGCTGGTGGGACTCAGGTCGTCCTGACCCCCAGCGCGCGAAGAAATGGGACCGCCAATCGTTTTCCCGAAAACCGAAGGCGCGGAAACACCAGGCGTGACGTGCGAGCCCCAAATGGCGGTTCTGCGCGCGACTTCCTCGAGGAATCAACCCCCAGACCCCAAGGAGGCCCAGCTTGGAGGGAGAAAGGGGGGGGAAGGGTGGGAATAGAGGCGGAGAATAGACGCCGCCTGCCTCACGACTCGGTCGTCGAAACCAACGCCTGGCTCTGCTGGTCCTCCGAACCTGGGGCCTGGAGAAAGAGGCTGTCCTCGACGGCGCTGGCGCACTTGGAATACGTCCGGGCGCCCGTCTCCCGCCGGGGGAGCACCTTTGAAAGGGGCCAAGGGGTACACAAATAAGAATACACGAATCCCAGGATTCCCTATATCCCACCAGCCCTCGGAAAGTCTGTGGTTTGGGGCGGTTCCTCTTCCACCCCTCCTTCTTCCCCTTCGGGGAGGGGTTTACCACTGTTCCCTGTTAATAAACACCCCCTCCCCCAGGCGACTGGCCCGAGTCCATGGCGACACCCCCCCACCATCCTTTTGTATTATATATATATATATATAAAAACAAAAAAAAACGAAACACACTCTGCCCCCAAATTCGGAACATGCGCAGCCAACACGATGCGGCCCCCCCCCCCCACCATCCCTGACAAAAAAACAATACAACGTACACTTGGCGGCTGCGGCGGCTGCTGCGGCGGCTGCGGCGGCTGCGGCGGCGGTGGCGGCGGCTGCGGCGGCTGCAGCGGCGGCGGCGGCGGCGGCGGGGGCGGCGGCGGCGGCGGCGGCGGCGGCGGCCGGCGGCGCGCGGCGGCGGCTGCGGTGGCGGTAGGCGGGTGGCGGCAGCGTTGCGGCGCGGTTGGCAACGGGGGGCTGGCGGCGGCGGCGGCGGCGGCGGCGGCGGCGGCGGCGGCGGCGGGCGGCGGCGACGGCGGCGGCGGCGGCAGGCGGCGGCGGCGGCAGCGCTGCGGCAGGCGGGCGGCGGCGGCGGCGGCGGCGGCGGCGGATGCGGCGGAAGCGGGTTGCGCGGCAGGCGGCGGCGGCTGCGGCGGCTGCGGCGGCGGCGGCGGTGGCGGCGTGGCGGCGGCGGCGGCGAGGGCGGCGGCGGCGGCGGAGGCGGCGGCGGTGGCGGCGGCGGATTGGCCCCCAGTAGGTGCCCATCCAAAGACGACTGCTGAATATGCTGAGGCTCGGGCAAAACTCAGGTGCTACGTATGTGTTGGGGGGGCGGGTGGGAGTGAGCGAGACGGCTTGCGGGCGGGGAGGGGGTCTTGATCAATGTTCCATATTAATAAACACCCCCTCCCCCAGGCGACTGGGGGCCAACCAGGGTCCATGACAACCCCCCCACCATTCCTTTACAAATTATCCCGGCAAAGCAACCTAACAGCGATGTGTAGAAGCATATCTGAAAGCATTCCCCTGAAGATTCAAATGAAAATCCAGTTGTAGAATTCTGCTGTTCTCGCAGTCGTAGTCGCATTCTCATGCAGATCCACATGGGGGTGGCGTCGACGGGGGGGGCGAAAGTTGAGCGCGCCGTCCGGCGCGAGATGATCTTTAGTTTCCTCGGAGGGTGCCCATTGCGCGCGAGTGTTTCACCGTCGCGGTGCCCATGTTGCAGTTTGGTGATTGGGCGGGCTTCGTGACGGCCGGCTTCGTGCTCGGGCGAAGCGAACAGGTTTGGGTCGCGCGCGCACTAGCGTTCAGGAGCGGTCGTCTGGCATGGCCCTTGTCCTCGCGCGAAGTGATGCGCCATTAAGGTCGCGCTCTCGAATGATCCTTAGAATTGGCAGTGGGTTGCATGGCTCATTTCCGCGGAGTCGCGCAGCGCGCCTCAACCTTGAAGGGTGCCACCTTCTTCAGCCACTACTGGAGGGCGCGGGGCCACGTCGCGCCGGGCCCCCGGATTTCTTGATCCCAGGTCAAGGCCCATCGTACTCTAGACGACGCGTTCTCTGAGCAAGGCCGCGTCTGAATCCTCGTAGCTAGAATGGCACACGATGTAATGGGACAACATCGCGGGGGCGCATGGTTTGACCCTGCTGCTCGTTTAGACACCGCCCCCGCTATCTTCATGTTTCTGGTGTTCGCGACTGGTGCGGGACGGGTGCATGCTAGCGGGCCCTTTCACGAGAGTACTTTGGCCCCCTGTCCGAGGCCCCTCGCACGCCCCTCCCCGCCCCGTTGCCCCCCCCAAGCCCCTACCTGGGCAGGCCAGGGTCATCGCTGCACCTCGCGTTCAAAGCGCATCGCCTCTTACTGCTGTCGTCGTTGCCCAGGGGGCGGGGGGAGGCAGGAGGAGCGACGAGGAGGGAGGAGGGGGGCGGGGGGGGGAGGGAGGGGGAGGAAGGATGGGGGGCGAGGAGGAAGGAGTGGACAGCGGAGGAGGGAAGAGGAGGAGGGAATAGAAGCGAGGATGGCGTCCGGGTGCCACTGCGCGGCCGCGGTCCCGTGAGGATCTCCGATGCGGTTTGCCATCGAACACGCTCAGCTGCCTTCGCCAAGTCAGGCTACGCGGTCTCAATTGTCCTGAACCAGACGGCACTAGTTGTCTCAATGTGTCTCAAAGTTTCTCACCAAGCGAACCTTTCTGTCTCAATTTCTCTCAATTTGGGTCGTCCCCGGGATATTATATCTCAATTTCTCTCAATTTCTCTCAAGTCCTCTCAAAATCTTGCAAATATTCTCAATTCCTCTCAATATAGCTTACCATGAGAAAGCGCTACTACACAACAGCATCTTGATGGGCCGTTGCTCTCTCAAAAGACCTTTTCGCGACGTCCCTGGGAATGCCCTCGGCTCCCCGACCCGCTTCCTTGCCTCTCGAGGTAATCGAGGATAGGGTCCCCGTCCACCCTTTCCCTCCCTGCCTTGACTCCATCCTCTCCCTCCCCGCCTTGACTCTCCATCCCTCCCTACATCACCCCCCCCTTCCCTCCCCTTCCCTTCCTGCCTCCCCCCTTCCCTCCCTCCGCCCCTCTCCTCCCCCCTCCCCCTCGTCGTCGTCGTCGTCGCGGCGGCGGTTGGCCGGCGCCCGCTCCTCTTGCCCCCTGGGCCCGCTGCTCGGGGGAGGGCGGGCTCCCCGAAGCGCCGATGGGAAGCCCTTCGGCGTGGCCCCGTCGGAGGCCTCCAGCGCTCCTCCTAGGGCCGTCCCTGGAGTCCTTGGCAGTCATGCGAGGTCTTCGGCGTATGTCCGAAGCCTCTGCAGGTTGTCGGCCGCCCCTGGACGCTCTCGGAAGCCCCGAGCCTTTCCAGGGTCCTCGGGACCCTTGGAAGCCGCCAGGGCTCGCGGTCCTGGTGATCGTCTTGGGGGCCGGTGGGTTTCGGGGGGCTTCGGCTGCCTCTGGCGGCTTTCGGTGGTCTCCGGGAATCCCCCTTGCGATCCTCGGAGGTCCATGGCAGCCCTCGGAGACCCTTTGTGGTCCCTGGTGTCTGCTTGGGCTCTTCGGGGGTCGTCGGGGATGTCTGGAAGCCTTTGGATGCCTCGGGGGGCTCGTCCTCTGGGGGGCTTGCAAAGTGCAAACGCACAAACATATGCACATGTGCATGTGCAAATACAGATGCACATGCCGAAATAATGATGATCCGGATTTGTGGTACGTTGTGCGTTGCAGGAACGATGCGTTGCTGTCGTCATTTTGCAACTGGTTTATGCTTGCAGGCGCAGTGGACTTGGGGATACCGCCAAGGGGTCCGATCAGGCTTCTGGCGGCGGTTCGCTTGTGTAAATGTACGAAACCTCTGCGTCGTTATATCTGTTGCGCTGTTGTGTGATTGCGCCGAAATATTATTGCAAAGCGCCCATTCTACAGACCCGCTGCGTCGAAATGGTCTCGCGTGGCGGCCCTCCTCCATAGCGGCATCCATGGACGTTGCGCATTGTTGTGCAGCCGCGTGCGTTTGGTTGTGTTTTGAGCGTGTTTGGTTGTGTTTTGAACACCCCTTGGCTCACTCAGCGGCGGTTTGATCGCCCCCCCCGTCTCCGCCACCCCCATGTGGATCTGAAGGACATTCTCGATGACAGTCGCAGCGGCAACGGCAGTCGCAGTCACAGCCTCAGCCTGCCTCAGCCTCAGCCTCAGCCTGCCTCAGCCTCAGCCTGCCTCAGCCTCAGCCTCAGCCTGCTTCAGCCTCAGCCTCAGTCTGCCTTCAGCCTCGGCCTCAGCCTCAGCCTGCCTCAGCCTCAGCCTGCATCAGCCTCAGCCTCAGCCTCAGCCTGCCTCAGCATCAGCCTGCTTCAGCCTCAGCCTCAGCCTACCTCAGCCTCAGCCTCAGTCTGCTTCAGCCTCAGCCTCAGTCTGCCTTCAGCCTCGGCCTCAGCCTCAGCCTGCCTCAGCCTCAGCCTGCCTCGGCCGCAGCATCAGCCTGCCTCAGCATTCAAAATGTGGCCCAGGAGTGGAGTTTTGGGAACTAGAAGAACACGAAGTGGCCTACAGTTGGCTCCGGGCATTCAAAATCATGCCCAGGAATGGAGTTCTGGGAACTTGAAGAGCACGAAGTGGCCTACAGTTGGCTCCGGGCATCCAAAATGTGGCCCGGGAATGGAGTTCTGGGAAATCGAAGAGCACGAAGTGGCCTACAGTTGGCTCCGGGCATCCAAAATGTGGCCCAGGAATGGAGTTCTGGGAAATCGAAGAGCACGACGTGGCCTACAGTTGGCTCCGGGCATCCAAAATGTGGCCCGGGAATGGAGTTCTGGGAGCACCAAGAGCGATTTTGCGAGGATGTCCAAAGCGATTTCGGCTTCGGCGGCAGCCGCCGGCAGCCTCCGGGTCCCGCCCAGACCCCCCTGAGGAGTCATGATGCTCTCTTTTGAGACCACTAGAAACCTATCAGCAAGAGCTGTTATGTAAAAAACTATTATCCCGGCAAAGCAACCTAACAGCGATGTGTAGGAGCATATCTGAAGCATTCCCCTTAAGATTCAGATGAGAATCCAGTTGTAGAATTCTGCTGTTCTCGCAGTCGTAGTCGCATTCGCGATGACAGTCGCAGTGGCAACGGCAGTCACAGACACAGCCTCAGCCTCAGCCTGCCTCAGCCTCAGCCTCAGCCTCAGCCTCAGCCTCAGCCTGCCTCAGCCTCAGCCTCAGCCTGCAGCCTCAGCCTCGCCTTCAGCCTCGTCAGCTCAGCCTCAGCTCAGCCTCAGCCTCGCCTCAGCCTCAGCCCATGCCTCAGCCTCAGCCTGCCTCAGCCGCAGCCTCAGCTGCCTCAGCATTCCAAAATGTGGCCCGGGAATGGAGTTCTGGGAACTCGAAGAACAGAAGTGCCACAGTTGGCTCCGGGCATTCAAAATCTGCCCAGGAATGGAGCTCTGGGAACTCGAAGACCACGAAGTCCAGTTGGCTCCAAATCTGGCCCTCTGGGAAAGACCAATCCAAAATCTGGCCCGGGAATGGAGTTCTGGGAACTCGAAGAGCACGAAGTGGCCTACAGTTGGCTCCGGGCATTCAAAATGTGGCCCGGGAATGGAGTTCTGGGGACTCGAAGACCACGAAGTGGCCTACAGTTGGCTCCGGGCATTCAAAATGTGGCCCGGGAATGGAGTTCTGGGAACTCGAAGAGCACGAAGTGGCCTACAGTTGGCTCCGGGCATTCAGAATGTGGCCCGGGAATGGAGTTCTGGGAGGTCGAAGAGCACGAAGTGTGTGACTGTTGGCTTAAAACGACTTCTGCGGCACCCTGTCCGGCACCCGCCCAGACCCCCCTGTGGAGTCATCTGCTGCTCTCTTTTGACCCCACTAGAAACCTATCAGAACAAGCTGTTAGGTAACAAAACACCCCCGCCTCCAAATCGGAACATGCGCAGCCAAACCGATGCGCCCGGCAAAGCAACCTAACAGCGATGTGTAGAAGCATATCTGGAAGCATTCCCCTTAAGATTCAGATGAGAATCCAGTTGTAGAATTCTGCTGTTCTCGCAGTCGTAGTCGCATTCGCGATGACAGTCGCAGCGGCAACGGCAGTCGCAGTCACAGCCTCAGCCTCAGCCTGCCTCAGCCTCAGCCTGCCTCAGCCTCAGCCTCAGCCTGCCTCAGCCTCAGCCTCAGCCTGCTTCAGCCTCAGCCTCAGTCTGCCTTCAGCCTCGGCCTCAGCCTCAGCCTGCCTCAGCCTCAGCCTGCTTCAGCCTCAGCCTCAGCCTCAGCCTGCCTCAGCATCAGCCTGCCTCAGCCTCAGCCTCAGCCTGCCTCAGCCTCAGCCTCAGCTTCAGCCTCAGCCTCAGTCTGCCTTCAGCCTCGGCCTCAGCCTCAGCCTGCCTCAGCCTCAGCCTGCCTCGACCGCAGCATCAGCCTGCCTCAGCATTCAAAATGTGGCCCAGGAATGGGAGTTCTGGGAAGTCGAAGAGCACGAAGTGGCCTACGGTTGGCTCCGGGCATTCAAAATGTGGCCCGGGAATGGAGTTCTGGGAATCGAAGAGCACGAAGTGGCCTACAGTTGGCTCCGGGCATTCAAAATGTGGCCCGGGAATGGAGTTCTGGGAACTCGAAGACCACGAAGTGGCCTACAGTTGGCTCCGGGCATTCAAAATGTGGCCCGGGAATGGAGTTCTGGGGACTCGAAGACCACGAAGTGGCCTACAGTTGGCTCCGGGCATTCAAAATGCGGCCCGGGAATGGAGTTCTGGGAAGTCGAAGAGCACGAAGTGGCCTACAGTTGGCTCCGGGCATTCAGAATGTGGCCCGGGAATGGAGTTCTGGGAGGTCGAAGAGCACGAAGTGTGTGACTGTTTGCTTAAAACGACTTCTGCGGCACCCTGTCCGGCACCCGCCCGGACCCCCCTGTGGAGTGATCTGTGAGCTCTTAAGTCAACTAGAAACCTATTATCCCGGCAAAGCAACCTAACAGCGATGTGTAGAAGCATATATGAAAGCATTCCCCTTAAGATTCAGACGAAAATCCAGTTGTAGAATTATGCTGTTCTCGCAGTCGTAGTCGCAGTCGCGATGACAGTCGCAGCGGCAACGGCAGTCGCAGTCACAGCCTCAGCCTCAGCCTGCCTCAGCCTCAGCCTGCCTCAGCCTCAGCCTCAGCCTGCATCAGCCTCAGCCTCAGTCTGCCTTCAGCTCGGCCTCAGCCTCAGCCTGCCTCAGCCTCAGCCTGCCTCAGCCTCAGCCTCAGCCTCAGCCTGCCTCAGCATCAGCCTGCCTCAGCCAGCCTCAGCCTCAGCCTGCCTCAGCCTCAGCCTCAGCCTGCTTCAGCCTCAGCCTCAGTCTGCCTTCAGCCTCGGCCTCAGCCTCAGCCTGCCTCAGCCTCAGCCTGCCTCGGCCGCAGCGTCAGCCTGCCTCAGCATTCAAAATGTGGCCCAGGAGGGAGTTCTGGGAACTAGAAAAACACGAAGTGGCCTACAGTTGGCTCCGGGCATTCAAAATCATGCCCAGGAATGGAGTTCTGGGAACTTGAAGAGCACGAAGTGGCCTACAGTTGGCTCCGGGCATTCAAAATGTGGCCCGGGAATGGAGTTCTGGGAACTCGAAGACCACGAAGTGGCCTACAGTTGGCTCCGGGCATTCAAAATGTGGCCCGGGAATGGAGTTCTGGGGAACTCGAAGAGCACGAAGTGGCCTACAGTTGGCTCCGGGCATTCAAAATGTGGCCCGGGAATGGAGTTCTGGGGAAGTCGAAGAGCACGAAGTGGCCTACAGTTGGCTCCGGGCATTCAAAATGTGGCCCGGGAATGGAGTTCTGGGAAGTCGAAGAGCACGAAGTGGCCTACAGTTGGCTCCGGGCATTCAGAATGTGGCCCGGGAATGGAGTTCTGGGAGGTCGAAGAGCACGAAGTGTGTGACTGTTGGCTTAAAACGACTTCTGCGGCACCCTGTCCGGCACCCGCCCAGACCCCCCTGTGGAGTCATCTGCTGCTCTCTTTTGAGTCAACTAGAAACCTATCAGTCTACGCTGTTAGGTAATCAGTCTTCGCTGTTAGGTAAATACAGAGTCCACTTGGCGGCGGCGGCGGCGGCTGCGGCGGCTGCGGCAGCGGCGGCGGCGGCGGTTGCGGCGGCGGCGGCGGCGGCGGCGGCGGCGGCGGCGGCACGGCGGCGGGTTGGCGGTGACGGCGGCGGCTGCTGCGGCGGAGGCGGTTTGGCAGCGGGGGGCGGCGGCGGCGGCTGCGGCGGCGGCGGCAGGGCGGTGGCGGCAGGCGGCGGCGGCGGGCGGCGGCGGCGGCGGCGGCGGGCGGCGGCGGCGGCGGCGGGGCGGAGGCGGCGGCGGTGGCGGCGGCGGATTGGCCCCCAATAGCTACCCATCCAAAGACGACTGCTGAATATGCTGAGGCTCGGGCCAGACTCGGGTGCTACGTATGTGTTGGGAGGGTGGGTTGGAGTGAGCGAGACAGCTTGCGGGCGGGGAGGGGGTCTTGACCCCTCACCCTACCCCCTCCCCATGTACCTGGAGGGGGGGGCGCGAGGTGTCAGAGCGTCCAAAACGGCCTCGGCGAGGAAGCCAACATCATTGATTTTACTATGATTTTGGCCGATGTTGGCCTCCTGGGGGGGCAAGGCTAATTAATGCTCCGCCCTTCTTTGGTAGATCTCCTCCAATATGGCCCCAAGAAGCGTCCAGGAGGCCCCAAGAGGTCCCAAGATGGCCCCAAGGTGGCCCCAAGAGGCCCCCAAGAGCCCCCCAGGAGGCCCCCAAGAGACCCCCAAGAGGCCCCAAGAGACCCCCCAGAAGCACCCAGGATGCTCCAAGAGGCCTCGGCGAGAATGCCAAAACGGCTTCGGCGAGGAAGCCCAAATCATTGGTTTTACTGCGGTGGTGGCCCCATGTGGCCTCCTTGGGGGGGGGCGCCAATTAATGCTCCCCTCTTGTTTGATCGATCTCCTCCAAGATGGCCCCAAGAAGCGCCAAGGAGGTCCCAAGAGGTCCCAGGATGGCCCCAAGATGGCCCCAAGAGGCCCCCAAGAGGCCCCCAGGAGGCCCCCAAGAGACCCCCAAGAGGCCCCAAGAGACCCCCCAGAGGCACCCAAGATGCTCCAAGAGGCCTCGGCGAGAATACCAAAACGGCCTCGGCGAGGAAGCCCAAATCATTGGTTATACTAAGGTTTTGGCCCCATTTTGGCCTCCTGGGGGGCGCTAATTAATACTCCCCTCTTGTTTGATCGATCTCCTCCAAGATGGCCCCAAGAAGCGCCCAAGAGGCCCCAAGAGGTCCCAGGATGGCCCCAAGATGGCCTCAAGAGGCCCCCAAGAGGCCCCCAGGAGGCCCCCAAGAGACCCCCAAGAGGCCCCAAGAGACCCCCCAGAGGCACACAAGATGCTCCTAGAGGCCTCGGCGAGAATGCCAAATCATTGATTTCACTAAGGTTTTAGCCACATGTTGGCCTCTTGGGGGGGAGCACTGATTAAGATGACTCCAGGAGCGCCTGGGAGAGCCCAAGATGACCTCCAAGATGGCTCCAGATATCCATAGATGTCTCATAATGGCTTCCTCTGTGTGCTGCCCACTTCCCTGATCCAGGCAATTCCTCTGGGCATCGTTTCTGGATGGGCTGGTGGGGATTCGCGAAGCGTCAACAATTCTTACATATTTTCTGGATGCTCCTCTTCCCCTTCCACTTCCCATATTTTCAAAATTTCCCTGGAGATCGACGTTCATCCCTCCTGGACCTTGTTAGCCTCGTTCTCGAAGTGGAAGCAATACGTGTCTCCCTCTTTTGTCTCGCGATGCGTGAAGCCGACGCAAGCCCTGTCTTTGCGGCACGCCTTGGCGCAAAAGTCAAGCGGCTCATCATCTAAGTCTTCGATCTGTTTGCCGGCCCTCCAGGTCCCGGCGTGGGAGAACTGAAAGCCGTTCTCGCATTCAAAACCCTCAACTTGGCACTTGGTGTAAGACACAGCCCTGTGGTCCGCCTGCATCTGAAGGCCCTTGTGAAGGGTGCACCGCATCCTTTCTTGCATGAAACGGGCACCGAGCTCGTCTTGCATGGGTTCCCACCCTTTGCGGGCAGAGAAGCCGACACAATTCTGCGCTTTGCCGCAATCCTGCATGCACGCAGTGATATTCCTGGCGCCAGTCCGATAAGAACTCTGCCAATACATGCCTTCGATCTTGAAATAACCAGGGAGGTCGCCACCACAACCCGTCGAATTCGCGCTGCGAGATTGCAACACCGTGCGCGGCAAATTTGGTATCATCGGATGCGCGCCTCGCATGTGCGCATGGTCCCTGATCGAAAGAGCGCCAGCAATGGAAACGGCCACCGCCGCGCGAATGGCACAGCTGATGGTCAT